TTATTTTTGAGAGAGAGAGAGAAAGAGAGAGAGAGAGAGAGAGAGAATGAAAGGAGACACAGAATCCAAAGCAGGCTCCAGGCTCTAAGCTGTCAGGACAGAGACTGACATGGGGCTCGAACCCATGAACCATGAGATCATGACCTGAGCTGACGCCGGACAGTTAACCGCCTGAGCCACCCAGGCACCCCTAGCCTGCTTGTCTTTAAGGCTTAAGGTTGATAAGACTCATAGCTTCAAATGTGAATCACTGGTCTGTTCCTAATTTGCATCTGAATAAAAATCTACTAAAGTTTTTAGTTGCAGCATGTACTAAAAGTTTATTCCTTCAAATTCTAAGCACACACAACTAATCATATGCAAAAATTCATTTTATCAAATCATATAATTAAGAATATTAGAGTAATTTCCATGATTCTGAACTCACTTGGGAAGGCACAGTATAAAATGCAAGATTTTATTATTTGGTCTACAAATCACATGAGGCAAAACTTACTATTTTAATTTTTTTCTCCTATGTCCCCTAACTTTTAAAAAATTTTTTGAGAGAGAAAGAGTGCATGCTTGCTAGCAGGAAAGGGCAGAGAGAGAGGGAGAGAGAAAAATCTCAAGCAGGCTCTGTGCTGCCAGTGCAGAGCCTGACGTGGGCTCAAATTCACACACTGTGAGATCATGACCTGAGCTGAAATCAAGAATCAGATGCTTAACTGACTGAGACACCTGGGTGCCCTATGTCCCCTAACTTTAATGTTTCTATATTCTTACAGATATCACTGCATCTGAAAATTTTAAACCACAAATCAAATAACAAAAGTGCTTGTTTCTATCTTAATATTATAGATTAAAACCTATTGAAGATATTCTTATATTTGCTAGCATTCTATCAGAGTAACTAGCAAAACACTTACAATAATCTATCATAATTATAGAAGGTAAAAGTTGAAAAGCTGTAAGTAATATCTATGGTCTTGATGGGTTAAATAGGTAATGGGATTAAGGAGTGCACTTTGTGATGAGCACAGGGTGATGTATGAAAGTGTTGAATTACCATATTGTACACTTGAAACTAATATAACACTGTATGTTAGCTAACTGGAGTGAAAATAAAAACTTAAAAAAAAAATCTATGATCTCTTCCCCAATACTGAAAAAGACGGAAGCCATTCATTCAACTAAGAAAAATAATTTTTAATAGTTAAGAGATTTTTTAGCCCATTAACTTAACCCAAAGCAATTAAAAGCAATTAAGTTATATTTATATGACATTTATATTTAATAAGGGGTAAAATTTCCTACATCTAAATTTCTATGGGTAGGACATATGACAAATATTATATTGTGATGTATTATATTCCTGCTGTATAGTTCAGAAGAGAGATTGAAAACATACATCTACTTGGGCTCCTGGGTGGCTCCAATTCTTGACATCGGCTCTGGTTGTGATCTCACAGTTGTGAGTTCAAACCCTGTGTCAGGCTCCATGCTGAGGATGGAGTCTGCTTGGGAATCTCTCTCTTTCCCTCTCTCTCTGCCACTCCCTTGTGCACGTTCTCTCTCTCTCAAAATAAATAAACATGAAAAAACAAAAAACAAACAAACCAACAAAAAAACCCATACATTTACTGATTTCCAAAAGTCAGGATCTTCAGAAATGGGAAAGCAGGAAAAAGACCCAAACTTTGAAGACACCGATTTCCAGAGATCACGTTAAATAAATCAAATGAAGTATTTCTGAGTGTAGGTAAACACAGTTTATTGGAAATGGGGAGTGGGAGATGGTTACTAATTTCAAATATACTATTTCAGTGGCTGATTTTCTTAGAAGAAACAGCTGAGCTTAGATAATGTTCCTGATAAAATCTCTGCTAGATTAACATCTCACACATACCTCCATCTCTTGTCTTTAATTATAATAATACACTAAAGAATCCTTATGGAAAATTTCTTATTCATCTAGAGATAAAATTATACTGGCTGTAAGCTGGAGAAACATTTCCTCCCCATACCTCTCCTGTGTTTGGGTTGGAGCAGAGAATCTTAGCATCTTTTCCACAGCTCAGCAACAATTCAGGATCTGCCATGCTCCAAGCAATTGCCAAAATCCCCCTATAAAAAACACGAGGTGAAGAAATTTTTAATCTTGAGAAAACCAAGTCTCCAAATGATTCCTGCTTAGGCTTTGGAGAAACATATTGCTAATAGAAGTGTAATTTAATATAATCTTTCTGGAAAGCAATTTAGGAATGTGTATGTTCTTTGATCACTGAAAAGATATTCAATATCCTCTCATAATCAGGGAAATACAGTATAGGAAAAGAACTCAAATTGTTTAAGACTGGCTTTTGCTTCCAACATTATATTTTTAAAAAGTTAAAACTGGGGTGCCTGGGTGGCTCAGTCGGTTAAGCGTCCGACTTCAGCTCAGGTCATGATCTCGCGGTCCGTGAGTTCGAGCCCTGCGTCGGGCTCTGTGCTGACCGCTCAGAGCCTGGAGCCTGTTTCAGATTCTGTGTCTCCCTCTCTCTCTGACCCTCCCCCATTCATGCTCTGTCTCTCTCTGTCTCAAAAATAAATAAACGTTAAAAAAAAATTAAAAAAAAAAAAAAAAGAGTCCGACTTCGCCTCCAGTCATGATCTCATGGTTCGTGAGTTTGAGCCCCGCATTGGGCTCTGTGCTGACAGCTCAGAGCCTGAAGCCTGCTTCAGATTCTGTCTGTCTGTCTGTCTGTCTGTCTGTCTCTCTCTCTCTCTGACCCTCCCATGCTCATGCTCTCTCTTTGTCTCTCAAAAGTAAATGTTAAAAAAAATTAAAAAGAAAAAGTTAAAATCTTTGTAAAAATTATAAGGACAGTAAGATGTACAGCCTTATATTCCTCACCCTGACTCACTGATTTGGCCACATTTACTTAATGTGTTTCTCTCCCTCTCTCTCTCTCTCTCTCTCCACATATACACTGACCACTTGAGAGTTAATTGCAGATACTATGACATGTCACCCCTACACTTATCTCTGAGGATATAAACATTCTTCTATGTAGCCATAATACAATTACATACTGAAAATATTTATTATTTATATGTAGCATTTAAAAATATATAGTCTGGGGGCGCCTGGGTGGCTCAGTTGGTTAAGTGTCCGACTTCGGCTCAGGTCATCATCTCGCGGTTTGTGGGTTTGAGCCCCGCGTCAGGCTCTGTGCTAACAGTTCAGAGTCTGGAGCTTGCTTCAGATTCTGTGTTTCCCTCTCTCTCTGCCTCTCCCCCACTCATGCTCTGTCTACCCTTTCTCTCAAAAATAAACATCAAAAAAATTTTTTTAAATAAAAATATATAGTCTACATTCAAATTTCCACAATTGTATCAATAATATACTTTATAACAGTCCTCCCATTAGAATCTAATCATGCATGTCAAGAATTTCAAGGCATGTCAAGAATGACTCTGAAAAAAATCTGTACATATTTAATATCACATTTTAAAGATCATTTAGGAAGACAAAAATATCACAGAATTATAGAGCTGGAAGGGACCTTAAAGATCCTATAATGTAACTCTTGCATATATTAGAAGGAGAAAATTGAGAAACTAGAGAGTTGATTTGCTCCTAGCACTCAGTATGGTTTTCTGTCTTGTTAAATTATGATCACTCCTAAAACTGGCAGTACAATAAAGTGTTAAGAGCATGGATTCTGGGATCAGAAAGTTTGGGTCGGAAGTAAGCACCTGACTAGTTATGTGACATAGGCCAAGTTTACCTTGCTGAGCCTCAATTTCCAATTTGTAAAATGGGTTAATAGGATCTATACCACAGGTTTGTTATGAGAATTAATCAAGCTAACATTCAAAGTGTTTGTACATTTTACATGTTATATAAATGTTAGTTGTCCTCCCACCATAATGTAAGTTCCCTGAGGGCAGAGATTTTTGTCTGTTACATTACTGAATCTCAGTACAGTGCTTGGTACAGAGCACATGTTCAAGAAGTATGTGTTAAATGAATGAATAAAACCTTATCTAACAGAAAAATATTAAGACTTCTCAGAATCATCCTTTCTTTACTAAAAAGCTGATTGAAGCATAACATCTGAATAGGATTACATTTTTACTGCACTCTTCTCCTACAGCTAAAGTAGAGGTCACAAACTTTAAGACTTCTCCCAGTGGGAGAAAAGGGATTTAAAGTTTTAGTGTATATATCCCTAAATAGGAAAGAAAGCCCCCAAGTACTTAGAAAATATTAGAGCTAGCAAGCTAACTAGCTAGCTAGCTAGCTTTATTTATTTATTTATTTGTTTGTTTGTTTGTTTCAGGGCCCCTGGGTGGCTCAGTTGGTTAGGCATCCGACTTCAGCTCAGGTCATGATCTCACAGTCTGTGGGTTCGAGCCCCGCATCAGGCTCTGTGCTGACAGCTCAGAGCCTGGAGCCTGCTTCGGATTCTGTGTCTCCCTCTCTCTCTGCCCCTCCCCCATTCATGCTCTGTCTCTCTCTGTCTCAAAAATAGATAAACGTTAAAAAAAATATTTTTTAAAAAGTTAATATTATAAATCTTCTAGGAGAAGCCACAGGAGAAACGTTTTGTTTGTGTCACTGAGTTAGATAAAGTGTTTTTTGATAGGTCACAAAAAACACAAATATTGTTTAAACTTATAAATTGGACATAATCAAATTTAAACTTTTGCTTTTTGAAAGACCATGTTTAAGAAAACAAAAAGACTGGGGCGCCTGGGTGGCTCAGTCGGTTCAGTGTCCGACTTCAGCTCAGGTCATGATCTCAAGGTTGACGAGTTTGAGCGCTGCGTAGGGTTCTGTGCTGACAGCTCAGAGCCTGGAGCCTGCTTCGGATTCTGTGTCTTCTTCTCTTGCTCCTCACCCACTCACACGCTGTCTCTCTCTCTCTCTCTCTCTCTCTCTCAAAAATAAACAAACATTAAAAAAAATTATAAAAAAAAAAAATACTTAATTTTTAAAAAATGTTTATTTACTTTAGAGAGACAGAGAGAGACACAGTGTGAACTGTCTAGGGGCAGAGAGAGGAAGACACAGAATCCAAAGCAGGCGCCAGGCTCCGAGCTGTCAGCACAGAGCCCAATATGGGGCTTGAACTCAATGAACCATGAGATCATGACCGGAGCCAAAGTCGGACCGACTGAGCCACCCAGGTGCCCTAGAAAATACTACCATTAAAAGAGATTTGTTTCTTGTTTAAAACCATGAAAAAAATATGTATAAACCCCTGGACACCTGAATATCAATGACAGGAAATGTGCCAAATTACCAACTAAATTTAATGCTACCAGAATTCACATAAGTAATTTCTCATATCTTTTGATTTTTAAAATTTTTATTAATTTGTAAAGATTTTATTTCTTTAAAGTAATCTCTACACCCAAGGTGGGGCTCAAACTCCATAACCCCAAGACCAAGGGTTGCACGCCTTACCCCTCACATCTATGTAGAAAATCTGCACATTTATTAAAATTGAAAGCAGAATAACCCAGCTAATTTCTCAATAATGCTTTTAAACTAAAATAAAAACTTAGAAATAAAACAAACTTTTCAATTGTTGCTTGTCACTGAATGTTATGGAAGACTCTTCATAAGCATGATGACCCTAATAAAGATCAAATTGTATAATGTCATGAGTTGCCCCAAAGTGCTGTGATATACTGGAAATTTGATCTATTAATTATTACATGAAATAAGTAGCGGAAAATCCTTTAACACATTTTTGTACTGTTATAATATGAATTTTTGGGAACAGAAAATGAGATGACTACTGCTTCAAATAAAAACCATTTAACTTTTACAGGATAGAGACAAAGGAGATTCCTTAATTCAAAAATAATTATCTGATAATTCAAAGAAGTAAATATGTTTTTACAAATAAACAAATCAAGTTCCTTAGATGAGCAGCATGATACCTGGCATGATTTTCCAAGACACGGAGTGGAGAGGAAGCAAAGCGAAGATCCCACATCTGGACCACTGGTAATCTATCATCCTCAGAGGCAAGGACCATCTGAGTCGCAACATCAGGATGCCACGCCAACCCAGAGCAATGCATCTGCAGATAGTTAAGGCTCACACTGTATCAATCCTATTACTTTATGAAGAGCCAAAATGAGCTTGAGGAATATGCCTTTGTTGAAACAAACAGTAGAAAACATCAGCTCAGGCTTAGTTTATTTAAAAAAAAAAAACAAAACCCAAACTTAAAACTATTAAATTTTGAACCCTGACAGCTATCTTCACAGCCTGCATTTGGAGATGTCAAGCTATGATGCTTCTTGATTAAATGATTAAATAAAACGATGAAATTTTATTTTATTTATTTTTTAATTTATATATGAAATTTATTGTCAAATTGGTTTCCATACAACACCCAGTGCTCATCCCAAAAGGTGCCCTCCTCAATACCCATCACCCACCCTCTCCTCCCTCCCACCCCCATCAACCCTTAGTTTGTTCTCAGTTCTCAACAGTCTCTTATGCTTTGGCTCTCTCCCACT